CGAAGGAAAAACACCACAATGGAAACCTAAACTCTCATGCCTTAAATAAAAAGGACTCCCTAACCTTCCCATGCTTGAAATCTAAAATGATAATGGCAGCTACACCCTTTCAAGACAAACAGTAGTCCCCATCGCTTTGGCTTGCCATGCTCCAAGCATATCTGATGTGAACAAGAGACACTTTGGCTGTGGTTTTCCACTGTGTGCACTCGGTGACTTCAAAATCCCCATCCTTCTTCCCATTAATGAAGGTTTGCTTCGACCTTTCCATTAGCCCACAAACTACTATTAAAAAAGCCATTTATCAGATTAACACTGAGGACTGCAAAAGTCATCTGCCAGCAGCGTGCGCTTTTCCACGTAGGGGTTGCCATGCCAACAGCTGCTGCACGTTCACTGTACAGAAGTATCAGTTTCAACCAAGTCCTGCTTCATAATTCTGAGGACCAATTCAGTCTTGTTGTCCCTCCCCACTTCCCAAATGTGCACACGTGGCAAAGACCCCCCTCCCCGCCCCTCCCCCCCCAACATCAGGTAATGACCAAGAAGAGGAGCAATTGCAGGACCAACTTGCTAAAGGCCAACATGTCTACAAGGTTGTAAAGCAGGCAAAGGTGATATTATTTCCTCTTCCTAACTCTTATCCTCTCCTAACCCCTCAGGAGTACAGTCAAGAATTTCATGTAATAACAGTCTGGCCAATAATTCTAGGAAAAGGAGTCCTGGGTGAATAAATTGAAGGAGCAACTATAATTGTGTAAATTGTCATAATAAATTATTTCCCTGGTGATAAAACAAAATGGGGGAAAATACTTACGATTCTATTGATGCTAAATTCTGTTGCAAGTTTTTGTTTTAAATGATGCCTGAGAACTTTAAAATAAATGTGTTTAAACTGACTAGCATTATCATGATTTTGGTTTAGAAGAAGAGTCTAGAACAGCGCTAGGAAACAAAAGTAAACCTAACAAGCAATTTCCAACGAGCCCCAGCCTCATATTAAAACTCCTGATTAAATAAATTAAAATACAACAACAATCCAACTTAAAAATGATTCAAAGAAAACAGGCAAATGCTATAGACACCTGGCTCCCAAGTGAACATGAGTCATCTTTATGTTGAACTTTACTGTAAATTTAGACCAAACTTCCAACCATGATCAGCAGAGAGAGAAAGCTCATCACAACCCTTAAAAAATATAGTGCAGTGAAGGCCTGGGGAGGGGGCTGGAGCGGGGTAGAGGGGGTCAATGGGGAAAAAGAGGGGGCATCTATAATACTTTCAATAATAAAGATAAATTAATAAAATAATGTATTTACTTCTAGGATATGTACTCCCTTTCATACACATATACATTTGCGAGGAGACGGCATCCTACCTGACTCCTATGTGCTATATGTCTGTTGGTATATCTTCTATAACTATATGTTGCTCATTTCTCTCCCGGCCAATTTATTAAAGAGGGGACTATCTTTCTTTTGAGACAAAGTCCTCACTGGCTACATATCTTTGAGATATTCACTCTTTCTTCTCAATTTCTACATCCTCAGTAGCTGCCCCCCAGGGAACTCTGAAGTTTTACAAGGAAAAGCTACTGATGAACAAGTAAGCCCAGCTTCTCAGCAGTGATCACCACAGATGTCCTGGCAGCTGTTTTTGCTGCACGCTTTCCACCCCAGGATGGCCCCGTCAATATGTTCATTCACTTTGCATCTCATTCATACTGGGGGGCTCACATTGAACCGGCAAGGAACTATCCTTTATTAGTTTAGCAATGGATGTCACAGATTCTTCCAGATATCTCATAGCCTTCAAAAGGCATGAAGATTATGCTTTTCATAAAAAGTGATCCAATTCTCTTGTTAAGAAAAGGTATTTGTGGCCCTGGACAGGTAAATTAATAATATATATCTTTATTTATAATATATATCTTTCGAGGATGGGACAAAAACATTGTATTGATAGCATCTATTTCAACTAAAAAAATTTTTTTAGAGTTTCTAACTGTAACAAATACGAATGATATTAAATATGCATTAACTTTTTCAGTATAATGAATACACTACTGTACAAAGGAGAAAGATATGGATTATGTCACAAAATTTCAGGAGGACAATCACCAATTAAAATTTCAAATGGAGCTTTAAAATCTTAGGCACAGCAAGGCCATTGGAGGAAACTTGTTCTCCCAGCTAGTGGCTTCTTGCTCAAAGCAGACACATGGGCTACACTGGGAGACCCAGCCCAGCCCCGAGAGCCTCATGGCCGCAGCCTGTTCTCTGTAATCACGTGAATTATTCTAAGCCTAGAGAAAGGCCTACATGAGCACAAAACCTTTTAATTTGTAGTTACTTCTGGGACACCAGAACTAACAAACATATTGGTCCGGCAAATGGAAGAGATGCTGTTTTCAGGCTTGCGAATACTCTTTAGGCTGGTTAGAGCCTGTTTTCTGAGCCAGGACGTGTCAATGAACAGGGGCTGAATTGTGATACTTCCATGCGTAGAACTTAATACAGCTATATTACATCTATGTGCCTTGATAGCCAGAGATAATCCTATCTAATAAAGAGGGAATATGCTAATTGACCTTCACGCTGTTTATCAAAGTGTTAACAGGGGTTGCCTCTAGGTGATGAAATTTTGGTGATTTTTATCTGGATGCCTTCCTGTACTGTGACTTTTCACAGAGAACATGTATATTTTTTATAATCAGAAGAAAACAACTTAGCTACTTGAAAAAACAATTTTACAGGAAAGATAACTTACGAGGACTGGTGTGTGCGTGTACACTTGCACAGTCTCCCTAACTACCCTTATGCTAAAATCTTCTGCCAAGTAATTTGGGGAGCCCTGTTCTCCTGCCATCCACAGGGCCCATTGCACCCCTGGGTGACATTCCCACATCCCTGTCCTCCCTCTACATCCTGCTCCCCGTTCAGCAGCGTCAGTGAGCTGCCCCCACACTGGGGGCAGGCATTCAAGAAGCAAGGAAATATTATGCAAGAGCACAGGAAGTCAGAGGAGACAGGATTCTGGGCAGGCCTGGCAAAGAGTCTGTGTGAACTCCAGTGAACAGGCGGACTTTGCTCAGCAGGGCCGAAGCCAGCAGAAAGCCTTCCCAGGGCGGCAGGGGAGAGCCGTCCACCTCAGGTCTCTGGCCAGTGGGAAGCCATCCAGAACTTGATGTACCTGATGAAAGGAAGATAAACCCAAGTCCCAATATTTCCACTTTTTTGGCACAATTTCAAGGTGACTCCCCAACAGTCATGCACTGTGACTCACCTCTGTCCCACAGAGTTCTCCCCCGCCTCCCCAATACAGCGTAGCTCCATTCAGTAATTTTCAAGCCTGTTCCTCTCAAGGCCACCGGCTTTCTGACTCGGTTCTTTCTCCCTCCCCCTCCCTTCTGCCTCAGATTAAAAGACACAATCCTTTGGGTATGTGACAAGATCGTGTTAATCATCTCACATTAGTATCAACCCTGAGCACTCCAGGTAGGTATGTATGGGTGTGTGTGTGTGTGTGTGTATGCAAATCACAGCAGTAATAACCCCCGATTTTGTAGCAGTTTATCAAGCCCAAACCAATTGGCAAGGCCGCGATTAATGCAGCCATCTGACAGATGGGAAGCCGAGGCTGAGAATGAGCCCATGACAGGCTGCAGCGTAGTGTCGTGTTGGAGGTGGGAACCAGGGCTCCTAGTTGAAGGGTACTCTCACTCCCCCCAGTAGCCAGCCTCCTTCTTCCCTGGCATTAGGAGACCAGACGCTGTCCCTCCTGATAACACAGCTGTTCCGTTTTGTAGAAACCACTGGGCAGTGCCCATTCTGTCACACCTCAACCCACTTCCTTCTAACGGGTGCTCCAGCTGCTGTTGTGGAAGTGGATCCAGACCCTTCTCTCGCTCGGTAGTGATTTCCAAGTCCCTGCCCCACTCCACATAACAGAACCTCCTCTTGTAGAAGGGGAGTCCCAGGGGAATTGGAGAGGGTTCTTCCAAACCCTCACTGATCACCTTTAACCTGCCATCTTCCTTCCCTAAGAAAGCACCTGGAAACAGGTGTCAGAACCAGGCTCCGCTAAGACTTTACTTCACGATAGAACTGGAACCCTAGAAGGATGCTTGAGTTTATCTTGTCTGCTTCCCACCTACTGGCCCATTTTAATGATGGAGAAACTGAAGCCCAGAAGTCACCTGGCTGGTTAGCACTCCTCTTTCCTTTCCATCAGGCCATAGGAATTCCACTAGACACATCAAGACATTTCTCAAGCAGAAAGGACCTAGGTCCGTGGGGGAGGGTAGACAGGCAGAAGTACCAGGCAGAAGTGGGGCTGTAGTCCTAGGACCACCCCTCCCCCACTCCCTTTTGCCACTGTTAGGAGCAGGCAGTGGTGTTTTAACTGGAAGAATCAGCCACATAGGGAATGACACCCACCCAGTCACTACCCCTGGCCTGACAATTGCTAATTGTGGTAAGGACCGACAGTGGCATTCTCCTGGGACTCTGCTGTGTATTTCCAGACGCCACAAACACACAATGGCTCTGACTCCTCCGGCGTAAACACATTGCCAAATACGACAATAACATCGCCATGACAGAAAAAGAAGGTGCCTAGAGAGATGGCACCAGCCAGTGGAAAGAGGCTGGGGCAAGGGATCTCTTAACATGGGCTGTACCACTCTCTGGTTTGGGGACCCCATGTTTGTGCCTCAGTTGTTTCATCTGTGTGATGAGAATGACAAGTGCTTTAATCTACATCCTGAGCTTTGGTAAAAACAAACACCGAACAAATGTAAGAAATGATAATACAGAGTTGAAGACAAAGACCTACAAGCCTGGGCTGATATTTCACTTAACCTTTACTTAAGAAGCATCTTATGTGCTCAGCACTGCCCCAGACACAACACATTTGGTGTTGAGCAACTCAGCACAGTCCCTGACCTCAAGGAGCTTACAAACTAGAGGGAAGTGACAGACAATAAGCAGACAAATAAATTACAGCATTTGGGGAGTGTTATTAAGAAGAAGAAGAAAATAGTATAGAGATGGAGGTTAGCTGAGGGAGGCCTAGAAAGGCTTTCCTGAGAAGATTATATTTAAACTGAGACCTAAGGCACAAGTCAGCTGGCCTGATGCAGGGTAGGGCTGAGGGAAGGGCAAGGTTAAGGACGAGGTATCAGGGGTGCTAAAGATGATGGATCTGAGGCTAGAGTTGACCTGCCAAGTCTCAGATCACTACGTGGCCGAGCCAGGCCCTTCACAACCAAAGCCTCGTTCCACTCCCAGTAACTCCCGCAGGCCCAGGTGTCTTCTAGGCATGCATGCCCCTCATCTCTAGACCCACCGATAAGCTGTCTGAGCTTTTAAAGACCTTGGGTCAGGCATGTAGGGAGCCCACAATAATGTCTTGCTTATAAGATGAAAGCAACAAGTGGAACCTGGCAGATATACTGTGGATACAGCCTTTCAGCCTACAGATTTGGGGGTGCTAAGTCTAAGGGCAAATTCTCATTCATACAGGATGGCAGCTGGTATGGACCCTCTATCCTCACAGGTGAGGGAGAACGGCCAGGCATGGAAGGGGCACAGCCAAGGTCAGATTACTTTTCAGGAGTCCTGGAGGGCTCCTCAGTCTCTTGGTGTTGTTAGGTTTCCTGGAATCTCAGAGTGTGGCAGAAATATAGCTCATACCCTGAAATCACTATTGGAAAGAACCCACAATCCTGAAAAGCCCAGCCAGGGGGCGGGACTGGGGGGATTGGGACTTAAAGGCCTGGGAACAAGCATCGCCTTTTAGATTCCCCTAAGACTTCCAATTGCAGACAAACCACTCCAACAGGTAATGATGTGCCAAATGATTATATTGCTTGCTTATTAATAATGATGCCTTAATGGTCTGCACTTTAAACTTTTCAAAGGTCTTTCTAGTAAGATAATGGTTGCAAAAAGATTTTAAAAGTGTAATATACTTTTTAAATGCATGGTTTTATTGAAACTCTAGCTCATTTCTACCTCATAATAGTCCTCTTAGAAAGCAGTTAGTGTGTCTAACCCCCAATTAGGAATGGGGAGGATGCGGAGAGGTTGCATTACCTGTTCTAGGTTACACAAGAGTTCCATATTTCTTAGCCTTTGTTTTACCAAACAGCTTCCTAGACCCTCTTGAGAGTTGCTCTGAACCTCACGTGCAGGCAGGCTTTGCCAGGGACTCAAAAGAAGGTGTCACGGGAGCATTTATAATCTGTTTGGTAAAACAAAAGCTAAGAAATATGGAACTCTTGTGGTCAGCCCCTGACACTAATTTTGGAGGAATTCAAGTGGGTGAAAGTTTGTCTTTTTCCAAAATAAACATGTACTCTGCCTTGGCCCGGAAGATCTAACTCAGGAGAGTTAAGCTGTCATCATTACCTTCATAACATTTGGATCCATTGAAGGAGCTACGGGCAGCCCAGGATCATAGGGCTATGTTGATCTGAATATGGAAAATGTTTTAATGTGCTCAAATGAATAGCTCAGAAAAGAAGGAATGAACATTCACAGTCATCTCAGACTTGCAAGGCCCGATGCCAGCCAGCAGCTTGCCCAGGTCCCATCACCTCTCTGATCCAGGTAGGAAAAACAGTTTGCTAGGAGTTCAGAAGAAACAAAGTTGAAAGTTTCAAAAGGAACCTTTATTTTGTAAAAGAAGAGAAAAGAAAAATAAAACAAAACATGGTAAATTTATGGGTTTTTATGCTCTAACAGTATAGTCACAGATCAGCATAGTTAGGACATCATCCTTTGCCTTCCTGAGGTTTGTCTGCAGCTGTAGGAAGGTAGATGCTAGACTCAAATGCCTAACTTTGGCTAGATTCAAGTGAACACTAGTTTCTAATCTATGGGTCTCTTAGGATGACCCTGAAGCAGCTCCCGGGGGAATGACCAAGGCCCCAGACAGCCCTATGTCTGGGCTCGGCTGCCCCCTGAAGTTCGGAGGAGGAGGGCTCCTTCCAGCTGGCTCCAGAGGTCCCTCCAGGATTCAGATCCAATGTTCAGCATCCTGCACAGAGTAAGTATTTAAATGGTTACAAGTCTGCCACTGAATAAAGGAGTTCTGCCTGGGCTGGGCATCAGCTTCCGGTTCTACTCTCATTTACTGATTATGGAGGGGATAGAAAAGGAATGAGATGAGACATGAAGTTGTCATGATGAGATTAAATTCCAAGTCAAGCATTTGGAGCTGCAGCCTCCCTCAAAGTACCACTGGACAGGGTACACTCAAGTGACTTGCTTGGCCTTTGCTGGTGTGGGATCTTCTCCAGTGATTTGGGATCTCTGGCCAAGGCCCTGCTTGCAAGTGTCCAGCCATGACCTTAAGAGCTTCTAAATACCTCTAGGGGAAAGGTTAGACCTATTGGAAGAGGAAAAAGCCCCAGCTGCCCTCCCCAGGTGACTCCAGAAATATGGCCCCTTTTTCTTTCTCTTCTGGCAGCATCCGGCCAAGAACATCAGAGCTCAGGCTTTAAGGAACGGTGTGACACATCGCAGGAAAGGAGAAGGTCAGGGAACAGCTTGGCTGCAGTGCTCCCTACAGGGCATGCAACAGACAGTTATTGGTAAAGATGACAAAGGGGTGGTCTGTTTTGAATTGGCCTCCTCCCTACAAAAAGGGGAATGTAGAAGAGATTGTCCTATCTCTCTGCAGTAATCGGATTAAAAATCCTGGAATCTGGAGTGAGAAAGAGAATGAGATCTCTCCCTCTGGTTCTACTAATTCCTAAGAGAGGAATGCACTGCTCCCATGGCCCCAAGGCTGCCCAAAGATTCCATCACATCATGACTCAGAGAGGACTGTCCCTAAACTTCCCAGCACCAGCCCAGGCCTGGTTCTCCTTGCCCATCCATTAACAGAGCTCCAAATTAGACTCTGGAAGGAGCAGCTCAACAGTCCTCACCTGCACACCCTGTGTATTTCTGCCTCCTCACTTGACTCAAGCCGTTCACCCCAACTGGAATGCCCCAAAACCATGTGCCTATCAGAATTCCACCTAATCTTCAAGACCTAGATCTTATTGCTCCTCCATTACACCTCCCTCTAATCTATGCTGATCTATACAGAAGCTCTATTTACCCTTATTCACTCTCACTTAATTACTGCCAATCATCTTCCATTTGCTTAATGTTTTATCTGAGATAGTTTTGACTAACAAGATAGCAACATCTTAAAGATGGGCCTAGGGCCTCTGTTAACAAAACCATCTTGCAATGTTTTAAGAAAAGAATCTTATGAACTTCTTGACTCTCCAACTAGACTATAAGCCTCGTGAGGGCAGTGGGTCCATCTAATGCCTCTTTATAACCTCATTGCATGGCACCTGAATTTGGTAGGTAATCTACAAATGTTTACACACAGTGATGATGCCAACTTCCCCACAAACTCACTATATGCATGTTGGGTGGACAAGGAGGCTGGGTAAGTTGATCTGAGCGAAGGTTTCTGCCTGTGTCTCTAACCCTCTGCACTGAGTTCCCAATGTTTCTGACACAGAACTAGTGAGTCTGCATGTAGTTACTGGGCACCTAAATGTAGGCCTCTCTCTGGGAAGAAGAAACAGATAAAGATGACTAGGTCCCTGCTCTTGGAGGGCTTACCACCCAAAGGGTGATCAGGGACAGATACCACACATACACACACACACACACACACACACCACCAACAACAACAAAAGTTGCAAAAGCATCAGACAAATAATAAAATACAGACTGAAGACCATATAGATAAGGGGTGACCAGTGTGCTGCTAATCAGGGAGGGCTCCCCTGGGAAGAGGACTTCTTGCAGAAAGCTGGGACTCTCCCGGGCACACTTTCCTGCTGGCTTTTTTAACTTTTGAGAATAAGCTGGAGTGCTTTGTTGGGCTGTTCCTTGCCTTGGTGTACTGGGCATTCTTGAAGCAAAGCATTGGCATAATATTAGCCTGATGTTTGGCTTTGATGTAAAATCATTTATCAAGACTTGCCTGCGGTCCCCCTGATTTTTTTCTTTTCCTTTTTCTTTCTTTTTAAAGCAAAATGAGTCAAGAGCTCAAATCTACACAAATGAAAACAGCAGAGCCCAAGAGGCAGGATTTCCAAAAGCCTGAGGGACAACAACAAAACAATTCTATACATTTTTAAAATTAGAAGTTTAGGGATTCAAAATATGCAAGATATTACAGGACACATGAGGAAATTAGACATCCTTGCCCTTGAGCAGCATGCGATCTTGGTTGGACAGACAAGAACACATAAAATGTCATTAGATAACAAGGAAACATAATCAGGCAGGCTCTTTGGCAAACATAACCAAGTGTTAGAAACAAGTGGAGGGGGAGGTGCCACCGTGGGAATTACTACAGAAGGGTTTGTAGGAACTGGGGGACATGGGCTCATACTAGGAAAGTGGGAGATATTTGAGTAGAAATCGAGGAAAGGAGCCTCCAGGATGGAAGGACTAGGGTGAGAGAACAGAGGTGGGAACGAGTCCTGTGAGACAGGGCAGACAGGCCTTTGAGGCAGCGAAAGGAGGTCTGCATATTTGGAGCTCAGGAGGCACATTGGATGAATGTGAATGGGGTGAGAGAGCTGGAGAGGTGTGGTCCCTTATTGTCAATGAGGTGGATTCCCACTGTCTTATAGACTGCCCTTGGGAAGAAAATTGGACCAAGGATCCATGTCTTCATCCAGGGTCTGAGTGAGTCTAGCTAATCCTTGAAGATCTTTAAGAGAAGCACTCAAATCCATAAGACACCCCTTTCCCGCCCTGAAGACTCTGTGCTCTGAGGACATGACAACCCTGCCCAATAGGCCTAAAACAGGGGTAGCCTCGGCACCATGCAAACCTCTTCTGAGGGGCCAGGAGAGCTGCCTTAGCAGCCTGAATGCTTCCTGGTTGGTCAGATAGCAGGGAAATGCAGGGGACACTAATGTCCATGGAGCACCAGAAAACTCCAGAGCCTGGGGAGGCCACCGAGTACACTGGAACTTCCTCCTCACTTCTTGACCACCCCAATGGGCCTGACCAAATGGAAGGGGCATGCCAGGTTAGCCAGAGCATCTAGAGTGAAGGCAAGATAGCCAAATACTGGGAAGGACCTCAGCTGGCTCCTATGCCACTCTCACCATTACTTCCCCTAAGCAACTGGTATGGAATAAAAGACAGACTCCCGCCACATGGTGATATAGTTACATTTATAGACGCGCTCTTGTCACCAGTGAAATGTGACCTTCATACTTTTCTTATCTTAATATCTGGGTAAACATCTGTTGTGCAAGCACACAAATAAAGGTTCTAAAGGTGAAATGTGGTGTGTCCGGTAACACCACACTGCTCCAAACCCAGGCACCAGAAAGTCCTTTTGGCACTGCCCATGCTCTCTCTCTCCTTTACCCTGGGCACCAAAATTAGCATCATCAACCTCGGCCAGTGCTGGAGTGAATGCTGCCATTCTAAAATAGCATTGGAGAACTCTTGGAAACACAGGGGAGAAATACAAGGGTTCAGTGGTTTACAGACACTTACTGAAGAAAGCAATTCCACTGGAGTGCTTTTCAAAACAAAACAATAAAAGGAAATGAGCATTGGCTTAACCGGTTTGGCTCAGTGGATAGAGCATCGGCCTGTAGACTGAAGGGTCCCAGGTTCAATTACGGTCAAGGGCATATACCTTGGTTGCAGGCACATCCCCAGTAGCAGGTGTGCAGGAGGCTGATCGATGTTTCCCTCTCATCGATGTTTCTAACTCTCTATCCCTCTCCCTTCCTCTCTGTAAAAAATCAATAAAATATTTTTTTTAAAAAAGGAAATGAGCATTATCAACATTAATTCTAGAATCTCTGTAAGTGCTACTTTTATAACTCCCTGAGTCCCGCCCCCACCCCAGTAGCTTATTATATACACCTTATTTGATAGCATTAAGCAAGATTGTTTTCATTCAGAAAAATAATGTAGAGGTCATGTGTTCCTCAAAGAGTGTTCATCAAATGACCTGTGCTTTAATTCAAAAATTTACTTTACTAGCTTGCACAGTCCTGATATTTCTGGAATACTCTCTAAAAATATCATGAAACATTGTGGTTCCCAAGCGTAATTTTTTTGTTGTTTGCACATAAAATTCATAAACAGAGCCAGGCAACCTATTTTGTGTGTGTGCTTAGAGCCACTCTTTCTGCATCTGTGTGTGACGCATTTTTCCAGGACAGTCTTTCTCAATACTCCAAAGTGCTTCAGCAACAGGAAGTCATAAAGGTAGGAAGGAGGTCTGTAAATATTTGCTGTAATTACTCATTAATAATGAGAATAGTTAGCATTAAAATTTGAGTCAGCCCCTTTGTGCTTCGGCCTCTTCATTACCATGTCACAGGAGCCTGGGGTGCTACCTAGGGGCCTGGGGTGCTACACAGGGGCCTGGGGTGCTACACAGGGGCCTGGGGTGCTACATAGGGGCTTAGCCTCACCAGGGACGCCAGGGTCCAGTACTACGCTTCATTGCAGATGGCGTGGTTTGTTTCTTTCAGCAGCTCAATTTCCCAAATATTAGGTAAACGTGATGCCTTTCCTTCCCTCTCTGCCCCTCCCCCAGAGGCAGTCAAGACAAATCTTATACAAAGTGGTGGCAATATGAAAATTATTTTATCAAGAGTAAAATATGCATATCTGTTAGTATAAATATAAGAGACACAGGGAGAACACCATCTGGCTAAGCACATAGCACAGCGATTGAAATGATTACTACCGAGAAAGAATCATGTACTGTCACTTATATATTTTAAAGGATTTATAAAATGTTTCTGAACTGTCTCAAATTGAGCCTATGTCCTCTTACTCATAGCAAACCCCCAGCCCACAGGATCACAGGTGAGCAGGGCACTTCAGACTGAAATGAGACTGAAAGAGTCAACTAAAGCCATGACAGAGTTGATTAATTTCTTAATAAAAGTCTACTATTGGCTGTCCTCCCGGCAATGTGGGCAGTAGGGGCAAGCCTCCAGCATCACAATCATGAGTGAAGCATACAGAGTCATTTTCCCCTCCTATGTGTTATCGCACAGCTTCACCCAATACAATCCCTGATCTGCTAGGATTCCTAGCACTAGCCTCGCAGGTTTGGTTTTTTTTTATTGGAGGGTGCGAGGGAGAGGAGGTGCCCTGGAGGGGATTCACTTGAGGATTATAAGAGAGTTACAACAATTCACTTTTATGGCTTTGTAGAATTGAGAAAATGGCAGGTGGGTAAATGGCAAATAAATGTTTTTAATGGAGTCATTTTCCTTACTGAGGAACTACCCTTTCTGAAAATATCTTCCCACATGAGGAAAGGAATTGTTTCCCAGAGTCATTATCTTGCACAGAAGTTACTTGTAACTTTAAAACAGAAGACTTTTTCCTTTTAAGGGGAAAGGTGTGTATGTTGGGGGCGGGGTGTGCCTCCCGGGAACACGTGATGTTTCTGGTGCTCATGCCATATAATAAGAATTTTGCTGATGTACAAGTAGCCTCTAGAAAGAGCCTAAGGCAGTCAAGCAAACCAGTATTTCTTGAGGAATCAGACGAAACAACCAGGCCACTTAGAAGTAGATAACATTCCCGTCCACTCCACAACTGTTTCCTCAGCTCCAGAGATCTTCAAGGGCCTTGCCACGCTTCTTGACTTCATGCTTGCAGACCAGTTCTGTGACTTCCAATTGCAGGACCAGACAACTAGCACCGAATTACACTCAACCTCTGCTTGAACATCACAGAGCTGTGAGCGGCATGCACCCATGCATGACTACCACACCCACGGCGATGTGCAATTGCCACCATGGCTTGCTTCTCTTGGTGCTGTATGTGTCGGTGCAATTGTTTTACAGCTCTGCGAACACTCACGATGACTTCTAGGTTCACAATGCAGAGGCCAATGGTGTGACGGCTGTGAAAGCTCGGGGCTCATGAGAGAAAGGGCTCTGTAAAAACGCAACATTATTATTGCAACAACGATAGCTATTCTTTATCCCCCTATCCATTCTTTCCTTCCTGTGCTTGCAATTTCAAAAGATCAAAAGAGCCAGAGGAAGTCTTGTGCATCTTGATTTGGAGATGGTGCTTCAGAAGCCACAGAGGAAGGCTTCTAACAGGTTCTCCTGCACAATGGAGTCCGAAGGCTAAAGTAATTATTGAAGTCTTGCCACCAGCTAAGGGCGGAAGGTGGAAAGCTTTGAACTTCTTAAGGGCAAGAAGGAACTGCCTCCTGCCAGAGTTGAGGATAGTCCATGAAAAATAAAATCCACGAAATTTCCAGGACTGCCAATTCCACCCTTCAGATCTTCAATCCCTGTCTGAGTGTAAGGTTCAATACGAGTGATGAGTCATAAAAGGGAAAGTAACTATAATAATTATAAATCCAACAACAAAAGCAGTTATCATTTATGGAGTACTTACCACGAGTCAGGAATGATAATAAATACTTTATAGATATCTTAAAGAAGGTGAGGCAGCGTGCTTCACTGGTTAAGAGTATAGACCTGTTCAAATCCTAGCTCAGCCCATACTACCTATTTGACCTTTGGCAATTCTCCTTTCTTTTTTTTTTCTTTTCTTTATTTTTTCTCAAATTTAATTTAATTTCATTTTTTCCATCTCCATTTATCCCTTCTATGCCCTCTTCTACCTCCCCTACCCTCTCCCTCCACAATCACCACACTGCTGTCCATGTTCATGAGTTTGCTCTTTTTTTTTTTCTTTTTTGCTATAGTTCAGTTTTCCCTTCAGTAAAATGGGGATAATAACAGGGCATATCTCACAAGGTTGTTATTAGGATTAAAAGTTAATCCATGTAAAGTTCTAAGGACAGTGCCAACACAAATAAGACTAAGTGTTCGGGGTTTTTTTGTTTCATCCTATCGCATATATAATTTTCCCCTAGGACACACATGCATTCCTTGCACATAAAATGACCTCCCAGTAACTGTGCAGGGCCCTCAGCTCCCCTTCCTCCCAGGACTGAGGGCAGACGTGGGGTACAGGCAAGGTGAGGTTGGACCGCAGCACCCGTACTCGATGCGCACACCAACCCTCCCATCAGAAGTGTTTGGGACCCAAACAGAAAGACACTGAAATGTAAGGCAGTCACCGAGTCTAAGAGCCAGAGCCTGCCTTTCCCAGATCATGAGCCTTTGAAAGGCTATTTAGAGCTGCACAGACTTCCCTCAGAGGGAGAAAAAACACACACGCTTATATACATAATACCTTGCGTGGAATTTCAAAGGCTCACAGACTATCTGAAGCCTATTCATAAAGTCCAACTTAAGAAGCTCCCTCTCCTTTGGCCTCCCTGGTCATGGTTGCCTCCACAGTGGTACCAGAACCTTGAGCCCTCTCATTCCTGGAGCCATTCCTATTAGATGACTCCCTCTGTGCCCAAAACAAACATTCATTCATCACTGGGGGTCTTTCTGACTATGGCGTCGAAGTACATGACAAGGAATGCTCTTGAACCCTCCAGTTTTTTCTTTGCTCTCATTATCCCCGACACTGACTACCCGAATTTGACCTGCCCTCAGAGCCAGTCTTTATGCTGGTGGTCAGCACGTACCCTGGGTGATTCCAGGGAAAACTATGAACCAACCCTCCCACCCCCAAACACACACAATACTTTTTAATAATCATGTATGCTTGTGTGAATGGTTACAACTGCCTGAAATGCTACTGAGAGCATCTTATCCTTAGCTTCAAAAGATTTAATCCCAACAGAAAATTCACCTGTAAGCTGCCAGCTACCTAGAGTTTTATTTAAACTTCCTGTATGTCTTTCTCCCCATCCCTGACCAAACGAAGCAATTTGAAGACAAGGACCACGTCCCCTATTTTTTAGTTTCTTCTTCGATCTTTTATCCAGAATAAGAGTAGGAGTTCAATACATATTTGTTGTCTTATTGATTTATATCATGGTGTGAATGGAGAGCTGGTTTTCATGAGAACAGACAGCATAGTACTGGGCAGGGGAGGGTATCAGGAGCCCAGTGAGCAAACTTTGCTAAGTTGACATTATTGGGAAAAGCCTGCCTGTTATGCATCAGCAGTGATGGTCAGTACTAAGAGCAACAGGGAAGATTCATTAGGCTAAAATGAAAAGTTGGTATGGAACAGAAATGGGAAAAATACAAAAAAAGTGACTACTACTAGATAGATTTCCTGAGAAGTAGAAAGGCCTAAGTCTTGAGATAATTAATGACAGTAAATATTTTCAAATGTATTGGGCTAAAGCAGTGATGGAGAACCTTTTGAGCTCAGCGTGTCAGCATTTTGAAAAACCCTAACTTAACTCTGGTGCCGTGTCACATATAGAAATTTTTTGATATTTGCAACCATAGTAAAACAAAGACTTATATTTTTGATATTTATTTTATATATTTAAATGCCATTTAACAAAGAAAAATCAACCAAAAAAATGAGTTCGCGTGCCACCTCTGACATGCGTGTCATAGTGCTAAAGTCTTGGAGCACTAAGATGATCTGATTGGTCCTTTCTATGTGTAAACATTTTATACAACAGATTCCTAGAAAGTTAGGATCACCCTACACATACATACATACATACATACATACATATGAGAGAGAGAGAGAGATAGAGAGATAGAGAGATAGAGAGAGAGAGAGAGAGAGAGAATGAGCTATTGATTGCGACCCCTTTGGGGTGAATTAAACAGGTTTGGTCTTGTGGTTTTCACTCTAGTGAAAATGCCACCTAACTCAATACAGGAATCAATCTAACAGCTGCTTGGATGTCTCTTCTGACAGGGAGCTCTCCATTTCACAAAGCCGTCTGCTCCAATGGGGAGGAGCCCTTTCATTGTTTTTGTCTAATGAGCTCCACATATAAGAAAAGTTTTTTCTAAGTGAAATACAGGGAGAGCACTAAAGCAATGAATTCATACTTCCCAGAGTTTATAGACACTGGGACCAACACCAACTCTACTCCCCATGCCCGCCCCCCCCCCGCCTTTTTTTTTTTCCAAAAAGCAAACAGAATCCCTCCTGGTGCAGCCTGAAGTCTTTTATAATCTAGCAAAGCAAGTCTCCTCTCTCTAAGGTTCAGCGTTTGGGGAGGGTGGGCACTGCAATCCTTTGGAACTATCTACAGCAGCGGTTCTCAACCTGTGGGTCGCGACCCCTTTGGGGTCGAAAGACCCTTTCACAGGGGTTGCCTAAGACCATCAGAAAATACATATGTAATTACATATTGTTTTTGTGATTAATCACTATGCTTTAATTATGTTCAATTTGTAACAATGAAATTGGGGGTCACCACAACATGAGGAACTGTATTAAAGGGTCGCGGCATTAGGAAGGTTGAGAATCACTGGTTTAGAGCAAGCATGTCAAACTCAAAGGCTAACACGGGCCAACGAGTTTGACATGCTTAGTCTCTAGGCACTTCAGGACTGGAGGTACTATTTTGCCAACAATAGGAAAATACATACCTAGTTGAAAGTAATAAACCAGGGTTCTAATTCTTACCAGAGCTAACTTTCCTTGTGACTGGAGGTCACTTAATCTCTCTGGGCCTCCGTGGTCCAGAAAGGGAAACATTTGACTAGATGATTTCCACGGTCCTAATAAAAATAATTCTAAGCTCCATCAGTGACACTGAAAAAAGCTGTTAGCCACAGCATTCTTTTGAACTTCACGAGAGCTGTACAAATTAAATGTTAAAATGCGTGAACCTACATCCATTCTTTATCCCTGAATTCTGATAATGCAACAGAGACAAGTCAAATGCTGAAGGGATATTTACAGAAAATATACATAAATTGAGAAAACCTACCCACCAATATTTCTGCCTTCAGTATTGGAGAAAACTGGACTTGGGTTTTATTTTAGCAGAGGAACAACTTCGTCCAGCTGGCAGGGAGGGGGAGGAGATAGTCTGAAAACTTCTGATCAAGATGTCTCCGATTCCTTCCAGCACTGGCCCCACACTCAGTACTCTAAGCCTTCCTTGGAGGAGGTGTTCTGAGCTGGGTCTGGCTTTGGGGATGGACTTTGATCCCTGACTATCCAAGGATCTCGTTTACATTCACTGGAACCACTTTCCCATCTCCAGGTACCTAAAAACCTCCAGACTCTTTTCTCTCCCAGGGAAGAGATTCAGAAATTGTCTTATCAGAAGGTTAGACACCCAGACACTTGCCAGCTCTTCATGGAATCAGGAACCTTGATTCATGAGGCCTCCACTTCACTCCTGACGTATCAGTGCTGAGAGGTGAGGGCAGCACCCTTACCACGCTTCACTTGACCATCTCTGATATCAACGGGAATGCCACTAACACCCGAAGAGTGCCCTTTGGTACCTTCTATCAAGGCCAGCTGGCCAGCCAACTCTTAGAAAGCAAACTCTTTATTATGAAACATTAGCATACCCATCAACACACGGACATTTTGGAACAACATGATCCTGCCCACTTCTTGAAGGGCTGTTAGAAGGAACATTGCAAGTATCCGTGCATCTTGAATTTGGGGGAAGAAATGGCTCTGCTGACCCATAAGAATCAAAACTGTTAAGAATTAATGTACAGAATCATCATCCAAGAGCCCTCGTGGCAGGCAGCACACTGCACCTGGAGAACCGCTTACGTGTTACACTAACTTTCAATGTCAGTTCACATATTTTAATTACACCTCTGTCCTGCAAGGAGCCTGCACCAGCACACAGAGCCAGACATGAAAAGTAAATATGACTCTACACAATTAGCCTAACAAGAATTAGACAAGCCTTCAAGGTACTCTGGATGGCGAGGGGCATGCCCTTTGCCTTGCCAGTCTGCGACACAAAAGTCAAGGGAATTCGCAAAGGGCAGGCACACTGGGTGCTGTAGCCGAAGGGGCCTCTTAGGCAACTGGTAGGCAATCCTGGCAGTGTTTTTCACGAATAATTCAGTCTGATTACCCCACATTTTCCTGCCCCTTAATGGTTGCCTCTATCTTTAACGAAGGAGGCACTATGGCCAGCTGTGTTGAAATAATTTACCCAAGTTTCTTGTGACAACTAATACACATAATAGCACAAAACCCGCACTGAGCCACACGGGGAAGTTGACACTTCGCATATCTGTCAGGATTACCTTCTGCGATCCAGATTCCCATCCTGACATTCACCAAGGGGCACCACAGGTGTAAATGTACAGTAAGTTCCTGCGTCTGCTCAGGGCCCTAGAGAGTGTACGCATGGGAACTGACTCTAATTTTGTTTTTTGATTGTTCGGTCATTACTATTGGTATTTTGAATTAGGATACATTGGTTTTACAAAATGTGTCGGAATCTTAAACTCTCCTCCCTGCCTCACTGGGCTCTGAGGCCCCAGGGGCACGGTCTGGGGGCTCAGGATGGCTGGGCCAAAGCTCTCCCATCTCAGGCCTTGGGGGCGCCACAGTGACGCAGGAGGGGGGAGCTTCGGCTCAGCCCCCTGCTCCCAGGGATTGGAGAGCGAAGGGTCAGGGCGCCAGTCCAGAACAGGCGCATTTCACTCCCTTTATCAAATCCTTATCGGTGCGCCGAGGTGGGAACCGCAGCTTTCCACGCGGTTTTTGGCTCTGATCTCCAAGTGGAAGTCAGAACAGGAGCAAATCAGCACAGGCGCTGAGCTC